GGCGCCGGCTGTCCGCGGCCCGGGGTCGCCGTGAGTACTCTCTAGGGTGGCCTGTGGGGCGGTCACCGTGGGGGACAGGGCGGGGCGTTCGGGACTCGGGTAGGGTGCAGGAGGCGCCCCGCCTCGGCCGAAAGGGATGAAGTGAAGGAGCTTGGACCCGGTGGTTCCGAGGGGCTGGCCGGCTTCGCTCAGGCCAGGCGCTGGCTACTCAGATCGCGCACAGAGCTGCTTCCCTAGGGAGGCAGGTGTTGGGTGTCTTTGGGGGTCTGCAGAGGAAAACCCAAGAGCTACAACTTAAGCACCAAGGGGTGCTTCCGGACCCTTTGAAAAGCGCGGATGGCAGGCAGAGTATTTGCAAGTCTCACCTTGTTCTCTTGGTCTACCGGCTATTGGAGACAGTGCTGGCCTGAGGGAGTCGCCCATGCCTGGCTCTTCTCTTCTCTCTTTGTTTAGTCCTGATTCTTAAGGCACAGGAGTACTCGCGTAAACTTATCACACCCAGAAGTGCTCGCGGACCTGGGGGAAAAGACCTTTGTGACCCATACTGGAGGCTTACATTTGGCCTATCCCATGGAAATTGATAAAGCATTCTGTGTTACTTGCCGCTATCCAAAACAAACACTGAGTTTAACATCTTTCTCTGGGCACTTTTCGTAGTTGTATTTGGCCCAACTTCTTTTGAAAGGCTCCCTTCTTTACCTCATTTTGATAAATAAAATAGGCCTTTCTTGCTTAATTCATTAACAGTCCCTTAATTAGTTAAAACAGCATCATAGGAAGATTGGATGTAATTAGGTCCTGTGAGATGTTCTTGGTACTCCTTAAGTTTCAGGATCTCCCTAGGCCTGAGGATTCTATGTATGACATCAAAGCTTTGAACTGGGTCATCTTTCAGCCGTATTCCTTTTAAAGATGTCTGATTTTGTGAATTCTTTGACCCACCGCCTATCTTTGCCCACTGTCTTCTTACACCCATTCTCCATCTCTCCAAAGAAAGGGCACTGAAAGTAGTAGGAGCAGCGTGGTTTGCCAGAACTGGTAATCTCTGTACTATCTTTTCCCTAGACAAAACTCCCTCTGAACTACTTTTTTTTCCTTGTATAGCAGCAGAAACCAAGCAGCAAGAGCCATTGGAGAGATGCTAAGTTTTTCTTAAAACTTAAGTCAACAGTGACGAAGACTTTGAAAAAGTTGGTACTTCTGACCCGTGCTGCTGTCGTCCTACCATTCACCCCAGGACAACCCAGACTGCACATTAGTGCTTCCCTCTTTATTCCTGTGATCTTCCAGATCAGCGCTTGACTGTTTATTTTCAAGTCTCACAAACTCAGCCCTCAGATCTTCGTATTCTGGTTATGAGCTGCTCTTGAGGTGAACGAAGTATTGGTTTTTAAAATCATTTTGGTATGATTTTTGTCTATGTGTGAAAATATTTTAGGTTTTTTTGTGTATCTTCCATTTAGCTTAAGTATACAGTGCAGTGTCATTCATTCAATAAATGTGTTAGTGGACAGAATGTAATAAAAACAGTCAAAGCCTGAGCCTTACAGCTTACATTCAGATGAGAGATAAACCTGTGTTAGGGTGTGCTAAGAGCTGTCGGGAAAGATAACTCAGGGGAGGGGGGTAGAGTATGCTAGTATGTGTGTTGAGTTGCTATTTTACATAGGATTGTCAAGGTGACCTTTCAGCAGAGTGTGGATATCTCTGAAAAGCATTCCAAGAGGGAGAACAGCAGAGATAAGAGTGATGGAAATATACTGCATTGGAAGAATAGCAAGGAAGCAATTGTGGAGTCTTAGGTAATCTTCTTATTAACATTAAGAATTGACCTTTTAGAGAGAGCATCTGACCGAGTGGCCTGATCTAACCCAGGGTTTTGTGTGTGCTCACTTTCTCTCATTGAGCTACATCCCCAGTCCTTTTATTGCTATTGGTCTCCCTGGGTTGCCCAGACTGGCCTCAGACTTGCAGTCTTCTTGCCTTAGGCTTTTGAGTAGCAGAGATTGATTATAGGCCTTTTTTTTTCAATCATGAAAATATCCCAAGTTTGCATAAAAGAAGAGGGATATTAGAAACCCTTACCTGCATATCTCTCAGCTTGATCAGTAATCAACATTTTATCACATGTATTTCATATATTTTCTCATTTCCTTTTGTCTTTTGTCTGTGCTGAAGTACTTTTTTAAGGCAGAGTCAGATATTAGGTCATTTCATTTTCAAGAACTTCAGTTGCAGTTTACTTTTACATATTGTTTTTGATGGGTCAGGCAACAAACTCGAAGGACAGCTGTGCAGAGCTTGCAACAAAATTTTGACTTATACCCCTATGCTCATTACTTTCCAGGCTGTGGAAAATACATAGGCCACTGGAACATAGTAGGATCTAGAAGAATGGTTCTTAAATTAACTAATTATTTATTTATTTATTTTGGGGTACTGGGGGTCAAACATGGAACCTTGCACTTTTGAAGCAGGTGGTAGAACCACTGAGCTAAATCCCTGGCAATATTTATGGAAAGTTTTTGCTTTTGTTTTGGTACTGGGGATCGAACTCCAGACCTTGCACTTGCAAGGCAGGTGGCTACGCCACTGGGCTAAATCCCAGACCTTAAATTATTTATTTATGTATAATATACAATGAATTTTTTTTTTAACAGTCTCACTGTGTAGCCCAGGCTGGCCTTGAACTCACAGTGATCCACTTGCCTCAGGCTCCCTTTTCAGTACTGGGATTACAGATACTCACCACCACACCTGGCCAGGTTATTAAATTTTATCATGCATCAGAACAACTTGTTAAAAACACAGATTACTGGGCTCCCGAGAATTAGCATCTATTACAAGTTCTTAGGGGATGTTGGTGCTTCAGGCACCACTCAGAACCACTCATCTAGAAAACTGAAGTTCAGGAGAACCATGTTAGGGACCAAGAATACTTCTACTTGAGCTTGGAGTAGGTTAGACGAATATAAGGGTTGGGGATTTAGCTCAGTGGCACTGTGCCTGCCTTGCAAGTGTAAGGTTCTGAGTTCAATCTCCAGTACCAGGAAAAAAGTATATATGCATATGTAGATCCAGAAAGACCTAGAACAGTGGTTCTTAATTTTGCCACCACAGTAAATCATTTGCAGAGCTTTTAACAAATTCGATGCATTGAATCTATTCCATTGAAATTGTACTCTGGATATGGGATAGTGCCCTGTACTGGTACATGCTAAAAACTCTTCAGTGAAAGTTCTTTCACTTGAAAGCTTGCAAAAGCACGCAGCCAGATAGATCGCTACTGATCTAGAGAGCAACACAAAGCATTTTTACCTTGTTCTTAGGGTAGTGTGGCCATCCTTTATTATCACAGCATTTATACCTTGCTCCATGTACCCATAACAACCAGCTCCATGTGAAGGGTACAGTGGGGCTCACAATTACCTGGTATAGATTGTGGACCTTCAGAATTAGAAGCAAGCAAGAGAAAGGGCCAAGAGTCACATTTATTGGGTTTATTACTGTGTTTTTATTTGAAGTGTAGGTTCCAGAGCAGTATTTTGGCTTTGACAACTCAGACTTTTTTACCAGAGGATATTCAGTTGAGGACTTTGTAAGTTAGATGTGATTTTTGAATAGTTCTTTATAGTAATGTTGGTGTTTTTAAAGAGATAATGACTTAGTATGGAAAAATAAGTAAGAGGAAAGAGTCCAGAAAGAGTCTGGTTCTGACTGTTAACTCTGGCACATATTGGTACGTTGAAGAATGTTCCAGAATGAATTAATGTGAACTGAGCATAAGCATTTGGCCCTGCCACTATCACTTTTAGCTCTGGAGTGCTTCTAGCATTATGAGATAGAGGGCCAGGGATTTAGCTCAGTGGCACCATGCCTTCCTCGCAAGCACAAGATCCTGAGTTCGATCCCTAGTCCAAAAAAAAAAAAAAAAAAGCAGAGCAGGGACTTGCTCCTGTCCTGATTCTCCAGTTTTGTTTTTGTTTCTTGTTGCTTTTGCCATACTGGGGATTGAACCCAGGGCCTCACCATATAGCAGCAAGTGCTGTACCTCTGAGCTACATCCCAGCCCTCCAACTCTATAGTTTGAATGAAGTGGTAGTATCTTATGTTTGCGTAGTGCTTTTATGGCTTTTTAAAAAACTTCATTTAAAACTGTGTGTATATGCATGCAAGTATCTGAGTATATGCATAATAAAAGTATGTTGGTGTATATACCACCCAGCTGTAAGTGGTAATGAAACCACATATCTGCTTTCCACAGGACAGTGACTTGTTACCACCACCACAGCAGAGCCTACCATCTCCGGCAGATCTTCATTTGCTCCTGACATCGCCCCACCTTGTCTCCCTCTGTGGCCTCCTAAATGCCTATCTCATTGGCCTGGGTTCACCTGGTGGTATGGAGGGGTGCTGCCTAGCACTGCTCTGGGAGTGTGTGTGACCTACTGACCCAATGGTGAGAGCCAGCTGCCTGCTACCCCAGCTAATTCTCCAAGGGATAGATGAGACAAAGTACAGCCCTCACCTCCTGGTGTTTTCTCTCTCTCCCCTTGGGAGGTGGAGTTTCTATTGGAAGAAGAAGGGGCACAGAAACAGTATCACTGGTTGTGTATGTGCTTGTAGGTGGGTTTTCTTGGGAAGGAAGAGAAGGGTTAAATACTTTCAGGTAGCAATTCCCAACCTTTTTGGCACCAGGGACTGGTTTTGTGAAAGATGATTTTTCTACACATTGAGGGTGGGGGTGGTTTAGGAATGATTCAAAGGCTCGTGCAACCTAGATGCCTCACAGGCATAGTTCATAATTGGGTTTATGCTTTCATGAGAATCTGCTGCTGCTAATCTGACAGGAGTTGGAGCTCAAGTGGTAATGTGAGCGTGAGCGATAGAGAGCAGCTCTAAATGTGGTAGAACTTTGCTTGCTGGCTTTCACTTACCTCTTGCTGTGTGGCCTGGTTCCTAATAGTCCATGGACCTGCATTGGTCTGTGGCCCAGGGGCTTGAGGACCCCTGCTTTAAGGAATAGAAAAGGTGCGAAGAGATGAGAGCTTACTCTTGGAACTGCCTTGGGTAATGACCCTAGAGGAGGTGCACTTATACTAGACTTCAAATACACTTACGAGTCAGCCTTGGCATTTGTACCTGTCCCCCACTGGCTACTGGAGCCTTAGTGATTATACTGAGTCTTAAGTTGAAAATTCCTATTGTTTTCCTCTGTCCTCCCAAGACAGAGCTAAGCTTTGGGAAAATGAGGAGAAAGATACAAAGGATTAAGGCCTCCATTGCTTTATCCTAAGGGACCTTTTCCCCTTCTTTGTGGGAATCAGTCTCCCATCTTGCTTCATCCTGCTCTCTGGAGTAACAGTGACTTAACATAGAATCTTGTCTTTATTTCTCACCACCAGGACATCAAAGGCCAGTTCTGGAATGATGATGATTCAGAAGGAGATAATGAATCAGAGGAGTTTCTATATGGAGTTCAGGTAAGGTTCATTTGTCAAGACTCAGATATTGGATACTCTAGATTTCACTGGATAGATCAGAAGTGAAAGAAGTCCTGGAGCAGGGATAAGATGAGGATATAGTGGTGTGGTTTGATCTTGGTTTGTTGGAGTTTATCCTATGTTATTGCTCCTGCCTGGCACTTACACCCGTTCCAGGTTAAAGTATATGTTCTGGGGCCAGATATTTAGCTCAGTGGTTCTGCTGCCTGCCTGCCTCCAAAGTGCAAGGTCATGAGTTTGATCCCTGGTACCAAAAAAAAAAAAAAAAAAAAGAAAAAAAAAATGGTATGTTCTCTACATGATGGATACCCATATATTCTTAGCCATTATTTTCTGACTTCTCTCACTAATTAGTAAGAATCATTTTATTCATTACAATCACCTCTTCAAAGATTATTCTCCTTGTGATTGCTTGCTGTTATTGCTAAAGACCTTGACTCCCAGGATGTGTTTCAGGTAGAACCAATATGCGTTAAACTCTGTACTCTTCAGCTTGTTCTAAGTTTTTAATAGATCAAGGTCTGAGAGGAAATGCTGGAGATTTGAGGATGTGACCTCAAGTAAGACCTACATTTGGTCTGCTGAAACTCCTCATGTGGTGATGGGCGGGAGACTTGGGGATGAACTCCCCAGCTCTCTCCACTGCCAGGAACACTTCATAGGGTGCCTTTGACTTCGTGTTACTGCTGTTTGCTTTCTCCTGTTCCTGTTGTTTCTTGTTCTTTTTATTTTCCTCCTTTGTCTGTTTTTTTACCTCTTACCACCATTTTTTTCTGCTATCTCAGGGGAGCTGTGCAGCTGACCTGTATCGACACCCACAGCTTGATGCAGACATTGAAGCTGTAAAGGAGATCTACAGTGAGAACTCTGTATCCATCAGGTGGGACTCCACACCAGGGACATCTGGGAACCAAACCTCTTCTGAGCTATTAAAGTGCTAGGGATGCTTTTCTTTTTATGGTGTGATGGAGGATAGATGATGAGACTAATGATAGAAGTTGCTTGAAATACTAGAAGTCCCTCTTATCCTAAACCACTGTATGCCAGCAATTTTATCTTAAAGATAAGGACTTCTGCTCCAAGAGGGTCCTGATCATGAATGGCTTAGGCTCTGTAACTAAGACCCTAAATATAGAACCACCTTCTATTCTTCCCTTTCCTCTGTCCCCAGGCTCAGTTTTCCCTCCACTTTAGTCTCTTCTTTAGTGTATGCTGCCGAAGTGAGCACTCTCCTTTAGTCTCTGTGCCCTGCTTTCTGCCTTACTGAGACTCACATGTGTTGCCTCTTTCTCTGTAGAGAATATGGAACTATCGATGACGTGGACATTGACCTCCACATCAACATCAGCTTCCTCGATGTAAGTGGTGCTAGTACCTGCCAACAACATGTCTATCTGGAGTTGTGGATTTTGTCATGTAGGCCAGGAGTCTTGTTCCTGAGTACTGTATTGGAGCACATATTCTTCATCTCTGTCTTTCTAGACCATCAGCAGACAGTGGTGTGTACTGTCATGTGTATGTGTGTGTCACAGAGGCAAAACTTCAAGTCTGTTCTCTATCATAACTGGAAACTTTTCCTTGTTCTTTTAGGAGGAAGTATCTACAGCCTGGAAAGTCCTCCGGACAGAACCTATTGTGTTGAGGCTGCGATTTTCTCTCTCCCAGTACCTTGATGGACCAGGTAAGAGTAGTGTCCTTAGGCAAGTGGTTATTCTTGATTATATCCTTTTTTTTTTGAGACTAGGTCTCACTATGTAATTGAGACTGCCGTGGAACTCACTATGTAGCCCAGGCTGGTCTCGAACTCACAGCAATCCTCCTGCCTCAGCCTCCCAAGTGCTGGGATTACAGATGTGTGCCACCATGCCTGGCTCACTTATAGTCTTAAAGAAAGTGGAGAAAAAGTAGAAATAAGATTCTGTATCCAATCTATTGTTAGGGATTTTTTTCCCCCAGTGACCTGTTAGCCATCTCCTACAGGCCTTCTTGGTTAATGAAATTATTTTCTCTGGTTCCCAAATAAATCAGTTATCTGCCCCCTACCTCCAGCTGCCTTTTAAGGATATTTAAATTGATTAGACGGATTTCAGAAATTACCCTCTGCCTCAGAAGTAAGCCCCCCCATTATTGTGTAGCGTATCCAGCAGCTACTGGTATTTTTTTTTTTTCCTTTTTGATATTGGGGCTCAAACTTAGGAATTTGCACTTGTGAGGCAGGTGCAGCTCCAACTAAATCCCGAGTCACCAGCTACTGTTTTAAAGAATCTATGGCAGTGATTCCAGTGGATCATGGTTTTGGAGTCCCAGGAGGATAGAGATGTGTCCATACAAAGAATTTTGTCTTTTCTTTGCAGAACCATCAATTGAGGTTTTCCAGCCATCGAATAAGGAAGGGTTTGGGCTGGGTCTTCAGTTGAAAAAGTAAGAACTTCTATCTTTTTGGTCTTGGACATGTGAGGGAAAGAGATAATTGCATGTGTTAGCTTTCCAGTACTGTGCAAAATACCTGGGATCTTCAGCTTAAAAGGAGGAAAGGTCTATGTGACTTACAGTTGCAGAGGTTTTAGTTCATGGTCACTTGGCCCTGTTTTGGGCTGTGGCAGAACTGACATCAGGACAGCAGCATGTGGTGGAGGAAGTCTTTTCACCTTGTGGCTTCCAGGAAGCAAAAAAAAGAGAAGGGGCTGGGGGCCCTGCCCCCAGTGACAGGACTTCCTCCCACTAAGTCATCCCTTGAAGGTGCTTTGACCTCCCAGTTCCTCTGCAGATGGGGAACAGGCCTTCATACATGGGCCTTTGGGGGATGTTCAGGATCCGGACTATAGCAGGATGTGTGGGTGGACAGGCTGAGCCTCAGATGGAGTGTTTCCTTCTAAAAATGTCAAGGTGAAGTCATCTTGAAGAAATAGTTCAGGATTTAGATGAACAGCATAGAATAATGATAGAACTGATCTAGGACAAAGGAAAAGATTGATGAGTCCAGCTGGGAATTGGGAGCCATAAATTTAGGAATATAATTTTTCTCCCAAGAGTGTCAGTACTTGTCATGACCTATTCTCTATTCACAAAGCAGCATGTGATACTTGTTCTCATCCCACCATCTTTGTTCTACTCTCACTGTAGTCATCCCTCACACTAAATACAGTAGTAAGTCCCTGATTTATGAATGAGTTCTGTTCTTGTTTTTAAGTTGGATTCATTCATAAACTGGCCAAGTTAGTGTTACACAGTATACCTGTGAAAGTTTGCAACTCCAGTGTTCGTAAGTTGGGGACTTACTGAGTCAGTCGCCACAGATTTTTAAAGGCTAACTGTGAGGTCTTCCTCTGAAGCCAAAGCATCTCACAGTTGTTCAGATTATTGGCGAGGATCTAGGAGTATGTGGTATAAAAGGTGCTTCGCAGTAGTCCATTTCCACAAGGTCTTAGCAAGGAAGTCTTCAGTCACGCACACCCCCTCTACAATTAGTTTTGCTGTTCTTGGGTCTGAGTTTTAGATTCGTTTATTTTCTTAGTCCTCATTTCTTGGCCTCCTCCTCTGCCTGGTCTTGCCTATGCCTATTTTATGTGACCCCTTAGGATCCTGGGTATGTTCACATCCCAACAATGGAAACACCTAAGCAACGATTTCTTGAAGACCCAGCAAGAGAAGCGGCACAGCTGGTTCAAGGCAAGTGGTACCATCAAGAAGTTTCGAGCTGGCCTCAGCATCTTCTCACCCATCCCCAAGTAAGTGCTACTTTAGAGCTGATCACTTCTAACCACCTCAGTTTTGTCACAACACAACTCCATACTCACCTTCTTGAGTACCTCATTTAATCTCCATCTTCTCCCTGGGTTCTTTTTGTACCTTTGATTACTCATATGACTCATGGTCCTCTCCATTTTGTTTCCTCCTTCTCCTACCCCAATCCAATGCCTAGCTCATGGTATGTGTTGGAGTCTCGTATGATTGTCTTCTCATCTTTTTTTTTTTTTTTTTTTTTTTTGGTACTGGGGATTGAACTTGGGTCCTTGTGCTTGCAAGGCAGGTGCTGGAACCACTGAGCTAAACCCCTGGCTCATCTTACCTATCCTTTCTTTGGCTCTTATCCTTATTCCTTGTCCTAAGAAGGCAGAGTCAGAGAACAGGCACCAACTCCTTGCTTGTTTTTGTTGTTTTCTATACTGGGGATCAAACTCAGGACCTTGCACTGCCTGAGGCAGGCGGTGGCACCACTGAGCTAAATAACCAGTCCCTACTCCTTGCTGTTTTATAAGGGTACGTTGATATATTGTCTAGGTCCTGGAAATAAACATTGCTCCCTTCTTTAGTCCCTCCTTAGTTTCTTCTGATCTTCTCAAATGCAGACAAAAACCTAGGTTTATAGTGAGTGTCACAGGCACCATTATTGTCAGACAGTTGATAGTCATCTTAAAAGTGCAGCTTCTTCTCGCTTTCTGCAGTGCATAGCACTTAATGCCTTTTGCTCACAACAAAGTAAATGAAACAGGCACTCTTACCAAGGGATCATTTCATACGTGGCTTCAATGCCATAATAATCTAGGCCCTGCCTCCACCTCCCTTTATGTCCCAGGTTTAAGAACATGCAGACAGTGATGGAAAAATCAATGCAATATTGTTATTTTTGGTTTGTTTGTTTTTTGGTTTTTTTGAGCAGGGTCTTATTATGCAGTTCAGGCTGGCCTTGAACTCACTGTATAGACGAAACTGCCCTTGAATTTGCAGTGATCCTCCTGCCTCAATTTCCCAAGGGCTGGGATTATAGGCATGTTTATGGGATTACACATCTAGTTTATGTTGTTCTTTTGACAGTGTTTAAAATCTTTCCTCAGAATGAAGTTTGTTTTTGTCTTAGATTGTAGGGCTAGGACTCACCTCCACTTCCCTTCTGGGACAAACAGTGACTCTCCAGTTTTATATCTTCTTTCCTTTTGTTCTCTCTCCTCAGATCTCCTAGTTTCCCTATCATTCAGGACTCCATGCTGAAGGGCAAACTGGGTGTACCAGAGCTTCGAGTCGGACGCCTTATGAACCGTTCCATCTCATGCACCGTGAAGAACCCTAAAGTAGAGGTGTTTGGCTACCCTCCCAGCCCCCAGGCAGGTCTCCTGTGCCCCCAGCACGCAGGCCTCCCTACCCCAGCACGGACCTCTCCTTTGGTACATGGGCTGGGGAGGGTTTGACTTGGGCAGCAGGAGGATGGGAGCGGAAAAGTGGGAGTTTAGCTTTTGAAAATGGGTGGCTGTGTGGTTGGACATGTACCCTGAGTGCATATAATGGAACATGTTTTCTTAATATCTGAAAACTTACTTTGAAACTGACTGGCTATTTGGTAGCAGGGTTTGAAGCAGAGAATCTGGAGCTGGTTATCGTACAGAGAAACTGTAATTTCACTAGGTTTTGGTTAGAACTTGGTAGTCAGCTGCTCTCTGAATATCCCATCTTCTTTTAAGAAGGTTAAGTACAGGTGAGCACTTTCCCAGAGTCTCTGACACAAATGTCTGAAAATCTTCTCTCCAGCTCTTTGAGATTCCTTAACTGATTCGAGCTCGGGCTTTTCTAGTTTAGGAGAATCATGAGTGTTGGGTGAGAGAGAGAGAGAGAGTGCTAACTTCATAGGAGACTCATGTGGCTTGTCTTTCATATTTGCCAGGTTAGTGGTCACTGCAAGAACATCCCCACTCTGGAGTATGGATTCCTTGTCCAGGTAAGTGTAAGCCAGTCCATGGCTTCACTCCAAGGTGCCTCCCATTGTCTGGCCTGTATGATCCCCTGAGATTTCCCAGCTCCTCGTTTGCTTTGCTCTGAGAACTATGCTACGTTTAGTGGACAGGAGAGAAGGCGGCACAGTTCTATCCTCAACACACTCACAGTGTCAGTGGGAACCCTTAAGGTCAGGGCAAGTGAGGCACTGCAGATGTTAAGCACGTGGTGTTGAGAGGAGAGCAGGATTAATACTAGTTTCCTTGGGATTCCCAACATCACTTACCCAAATGGCCTTCAGTTTTCCTCACAGGCCACTGTCGCTGCTCATCTACTACTGGTTATTGATTCTTTTTAAAATTGCTTTATTCCTTTGAGAACTTTCACTGTCTTCTGCGTTACTTTTGTCTGAGCTTCCTCCCAGATCTGCTCAGATGCTGCCTATTTTATAAAATCTCCACCACTCTAACTAGACTGGCTGGACATGACCTCTCTCTCACTGGCCTTGTGTGATTCTTTTAGTTCGTGCATCTTTGTGTCACGTATCACGTGCTGCCTTAGATTGTAAAGAATTTGTATGCACATCACACCTCCAGTTGGCGCTTATCATCTGAGAGCATAAAAAATAAACTTTTATGTGTTACATAATCAAGACCTTCCACAGAACTGAATACATGGTAAACATTTAGGAAATCTGCATTAAATAAGTTAATAAAACCCCTTGCAGGTTCCATTAACATCCTAAAAGCATGTGAAATGGGAACAACCTGGTTTCTATATGAAAACCTTGTTATGGGGATGCCAAAACAACCACTTCTGGACATTGCTGTATGAACTCTGGATTTGTGCCATCTTCCCAGCACAGAACTGGGTCTGGTTTTGACAAGGGGGCTGGCTAATAGTTCTGTGGGGTTGAAATGGCCTGTCCCTGTCACCCTTCCCATCTGATCTTGGACTGAATATTCACTTATCCTGAAGGTGTGCTGTGTGATGATACAGCTGTGGTCACTAGTTTGATTATTGTCTGTTAATGTTTATAAAATACCTTTGTGACCATAATCTGACTTCTCACAAAACCCCTAAGGTGTGAATCACGTCTTGCTTTATAAATGAAGAATCCTAAGGGTAGTTCAACTGATTTGTCTACAGATATATTTGCAACTAAGTAGTATAAGTGAGATACTAACTCAGGACTTCCAAATCAAAGGCTGCGGCTCATCTTATTTTTCTCAGACTGTACAGACTTAGCTATGCAGACAGTCAGGACTGTACTGGGCTCAAGAATAATAGATTCTGCCTTAGGCAGGGGTTAGAAGAGAGGAAGGTAGGTAGAAAAGAAGCTTAAATTATTTCCTGTGTCTGAACAACATTACTTTCTGTATCTGTGCCTGAATTTCCAAGATACAGAATGTGCTCTCTCTGCAGATCATGAAGTATGCGGAGCAGAGGATCCCAACGCTGAATGAGTACTGTGTGGTGTGTGATGAGCAGCATGTCTTCCAGAACGGGTCCATGCTCAAGGTGTGGCTCCTGCTCTGAGACCCTTCTCTGTGCTCAGGACCACTTCTCATCTCTCCTCTCTTCCCAGGAAAGGATTCTGTCCATATTCCCTGAGATGTTAGAAGTAATTCTTTTCCTAGAAAACAAGTCTCACCTGTCCTGTTTTGCAAGATGGGAATAGTTTTGAGGACAACATCCCCATCTATTTTTAGAAGCAAGGATCAGATATTGAGCCAGTTGATTCCATACGGTGGCGCCCTCAGGTGTCCAAGTCAGGATGGGTAACCATAATTCACACTGTTAAATATATAGAAGAGATGGAGCAATGTCGTGGAAACTGAGAAGAAAGCCTCTGACTGCCTAGAGGGGAAGGCTTATAGGCAGACAGCTTAGCTCACAGGTTTACCCATAAAAATTTCAAGGAAAGCCTCACTCAATGATAGTGTCCTCCTGGGACACAGGGCCCTGTATTCCTTCCTTGTTCTAGATAAGGTCTGGGGCCTTGTCTCCCTACAACCTATATCCTCACTGTCTGTTAAATGTGTCCATCCAGCCAGCTGTCTGTACTCGGGAACTGTGTGTCTTCTCCTTCTATACCCTGGGGGTCATGTCTGGAGCTGCAGAGGACGTGGCTACTGGAGCAGAGGTATGGGAATTGGGATGCAGAAAGGCAGGGGAACCTGGACGTGGTGGTGTATGCCTGTAATTTCAGCACTTAGAAGGATGAGGCAAGAAGATTGCTATGAGTTTAAGGCCAGCCTGGCCTACATAGTGAGTTCAAGTACAGCATGAAGTACGTAGTGAGATCCTGTCTCAAAAAATCAAAACAAAAAAGCAAAAAGCAAACACAGACCCTGGCTTGGTGTAGAGCAGGCTGTTGTCCTAGCTGCTTAGGAGGCTGAAGTAGAATTCCTTGATGGCAGGAGTTTCATATGTGTAGCATGCATGAATCCTGGTCTCAATATCCAGCAGGAAGGAAGGGAAGAAAGGATGGCAAGGAGAGAGAGATCTGGGAGGTGATATTTATTTTTTCTTTCATCACTTGGCTGCTGCTTGACTTTATAATAAACTTGTATTTTCTAATTAAAAGCCACAAAAGTATTTGATTTTTTTTTTTTTTTTTTTGGTATCGGGGATTGAACTCGGGTCCTTGTGCTTGCAAGGCAGGCCACCAAACCGCAGAGGTAAATCCCCAGCCCAAGTATTTGATTTTAGAAGAAGCAGCAGGGAGAAATGCTACGCACCTTGGGACTTGGAAAATTGAGCATTCTTTAGCTCTATTCCTGTCCTTTGTCTTTCCTCTCAGGTGGTGGACCTGCTGGTGGCCATGTGCAGGGCAGCTCTGGAGTCCCCAAGAAAGAGTATCATCTTTGAGCCTTACCCCTCCGTGGTGGACCCCACTGATCCCAAGACTCTGGCCTTTAACCCTAAGGTACAGTTGCTTTAGAACAAGTCAGGGCTGAGGAACGGAGATGGTGAGAGATAATGGGTACTACGTACTATCACTGCCTTGTACACAAGAGCTTGGCATGAGGGTCCGGAGAGATGGAGCACTTCCCTATTTCTTGAGAACTCTTGACCCCAGCATTTAGCTATTTCAGTGAACAAATAGCTGAGTTTGTCTAAAGAAAGCAGAAAAATTACCATCTATTACATTGTGATGGGAAGAATGTAGGCTTTGATGCATACCGATGTGGATTCCAAATGAGCTTCTTCCGAGACAAATGATGTTAGAGAAGCTGCTTAACTTCTGAACTTCAATTTCCTAACCTGTAAAGGGGATTGTTAGGAAATTATAGGGTAATCTGTGTAAAGTGTCAGATTAGTGTTCTCCAGAGAAACAGAACAAATAGATTATAAGAGGTACGTGGAAGTGGGGCTGAGATTTAGCTCAGTGGTGCCCCTGCCTGCTTCACAAGTGCAAGGGCCTGAGTTCAATCCCTGGTACAAAAAAAAAAAAAAAAAAAATGCATGGAAGTATTTATATTTATAGGTCTGGATAGTGTGTTGTTCATCTGGGAGATAACCCAGTATTTTGCTGTCTGCCTGCCCAGCTTAAATATGAGTATTTTATAATCTTCCTTATGTTTCATATATACATATGTATGCACACATATATACATATATATGTATATAATAGAGAAAATGAGGCTTGTTATAAGGAGCTGCCCCACATGATGATGGAGGCTCAGAAGTCCTCTGCAGTCAGCAAGCTGATGTCCTCAGAGAGCCTGTGGTGTGTATGATTCCGGTCTTAATCCAGAAGCCTGAGTGAGAACCAGGAGAGCCAGTGCTATAACACGTTTACAACAGGGCTGTAATCCATATGTCTCATTGCTAAATGGCTTGAACAACCAGTGGTTCATGCACCACTGTCCCATCATGACTGCCCCCTTCTGTCCCAATGGGACAGTCATGCTTGTACCACTGGTGTTTTTTGTTTGTTTGTTTTTTGGTGGTTTTTTTTTTGGTACTGCGGATTGAAATTGGGTCCTTGCGCTTGCAAGGCAGGCCACCGAACCACTGAGCTAAATCCCCGGCCCCACTGGTGGTTTAAACTGGCAGGAATGTGGTAAGTTCTAGTCTGAGAGCCAAAGGCTCAAGATCTACAAAGATTCAGTTTTGTAGTTCCATTTTGAAAACAGAAAAAGGCTGATACGAAACTCAAGTCGGGAGGAGAACCCTTTTATTTGGGGCAAGATTCAGTGAGGCTAGCTTTTTATTCTATTCACATCTGTGGTTGACTGGATGAGATCTTTCCACATTAGAGAGGGCAGTCTGCTGATCGCATATTCTGAACCAAGAACACCCTCAGAGACACACCCAGAAATCATGTTTGGCCAAACATCTAGGTACCTGTGGCCTAGTCAGGTTGACTATTGAAATTAATCATCATGATGGACATGGTGGTGCATGCCTATAAAAGTAGCACTTGGGAGGCTGAGGCAGGAGGATCACTGTGAGTTTGAGACCAGCCTGGGCTACACAGTGAGTTCCAGGTCAGTCTCAACTACATAGTTTTTGTCTCCAAAAAACAAAAACAAAAAAAATCATCATCATCATGAGTACACAGGAAGGTACCTTCCTGTTCCTGTCCTTATTGTATATCAAGCACCATACTAGGTTTTTTACATACATTATTTAATCCTCAACATATTTGTGAGGTGTTAGGAATTGTTATTTACATTTGCAAATGCGGCTGGGATGTACTCAGTAGTAGAGAGCTTGTCTGGCACATGTAGGGTTCCATCTGCAGTGCTGAAAAAAAAAAAAGCAAAAAATTACCATCACTTGCAAACAGGGATGCTAAGGTTCTCAGAGTGCAATAATGTGCCCTGTTACTTCAGGCTGGTAAGAGATTTGGCACTTGAGGCAGAATTGGCATTGATTTTGTCTTTCCATTGCACACTGCTCTGCTTCCCTGAGCCTATACTTCTTTTGTACACCTTACCCTCTTTTTCTTCCCATCTTTCTCTGTCCTCTACTTTTCTTCACATGGTTCTTTTCCCATTGATTCTCTACAGAAGAAGAATTATGAGCGGCTTCAAAAAGCTCTGGATAGTGTGATGTCCATCAGGGAGATGACCCAGGTACTCTGCCGTCTATGTGTCCCCTTCCCTTTGCCTGCCCAGTTTGAGTCCCATATTCTGTTTGTAATTTGTGGGTGTAGGATTTAGAGAAGCTATTCAAATTCCTGTGTTTCTTTAGTATCCCCTATAACTTTCCCAATTTTTGATTCTGTTTTGTTAGCTTTTACTCTTTAATTCTCTTCCCTCTAGTGCTTTTTTCAACCTTTATCTTTGCTGTTAATTTCTTACTGTTAATTATTTATATTTAATATTCTTGTGCAATTCTTAGGGAAATGAGGGAGCGACTTCTCCCCAAGGTTGGGGGTGGCAAGGGGGATTTGGAAGTAAGGAATGAGGCCCTGAAGGCCTGCATATTCTGTCCTTCCAGGGGTGGGGCAGCCCCTTGGAGCAGTGCCTATCCTTTGACTCAAGGCTGCCCCTCAGCAGACCCCCACCTTGCCTGCAGTCTCTGTAGGAGTAGACACTCATTTGTACTCAGGTTTACAGGTGGGCCTCTCCTCAGCAAATCCTAGGCATTGCCGTTCAGAGGAGCATGTAAAACACTCCTCGGAGGGAGGATTTACTTTTCCAAAGGACTCTACTTTATGTGAAGATTTACCATGGGATTCTCCTTGCCCTAATCTTTCTGGGACATTGATTTTATTTATTTTTTGATTTATAATCGACTTTTTAGGGCTGTAGGAATTGCATACAATGAGGGAGACCCACCTGCATGTTGTTTTGTAAGCATCTTCAGTCATTTTCATATTTACTTAAAATTCCCAACCTGACTGGGCTCCTTGAGGGTGGAAGTCCCATGTCCTCTGTCCTCCATGTGGCCCTCAATGCCTGTTTTACCTGGACCCTGCGAGTCTGTGCAAAGTGGGAGGGCTCCTGCCTCTGCTGGGAGATAATCTTATGGCCATTGTCTTACAGGGCTCCTACTTGGAAATCAAGAAGCAGATGGACAAACTGGACCCCCTGGCCCATCCTCTTCTGCAGTGGTATGGATTGAATGGCTCAGCCTTATGGGGTGCCAGGAGAGAGATAGAAGTTGGATGTGGAGCCAACTTCCTCTCCCAGAGGCGGTTCCACATCCTTCAAGGTTGCAGACATGGTTTTCCAGAGTTTTCCAGAGTTGGAGTTCGCTGTTGATATACTTTGCCTTGGCAAGAATTCAAGTCCTACAAAGAGCTCACAAATTCTACCTGATTTCTCAAGTTCTCTAAGTGTTCCATATTTCCCAAAGGGTTTGTTTTCTCAGGTTTTTTTTTTTTTTTTTTTTAGACAGTCTCACTATGTAGTTGAGACTGCCCTGGAACTCACTGTGTAGCCTAGGCTGGTCTTGAACTCACAGCCATCCTCCTGCCTCAGCCTTCTGAGTGTTGGGATTACAGGCGTGCACCACCATGCCTGGCTGTTTTCTTAGTTTTTTAATTGGCAAATAAAAGTTGTATATATTTGTCATGTGTAACATAACATGTTGATATATGTGTATATTGTGGAGTGGCTCCGTAGAGATGATTAACATATTCATTGCTTCACTCCACTCTTTTATGTAGTAAGAATACTTACAATGTCCATTCTCCCTGCAACCACTTTTTTTTTTTTTTTTTTTTTTGAGAAAGGGTCTCACTATGTAGTTTAGACTGGCTTTGAATTTGCAGTGATAGTGATCTTTCTGCCTTAGCCTCCCAAGTGGGATTACAAGCAAGTGCCACCAGGCCTTGGTAGTTTTCAAAAATATAAAACATTATCATTAACTGTAGTCACCACCAGTGCATGCCAAAATCAACACTGTTCATTTCAGCTAAGTCTTCTGTATATCCAGAGAGAGATGTCTCTCCCTGCTTTCCGTGTCCAGAGACTTCCCTGACCCAGCAGAATGACTAGAGCCTGAGGCACTGCTGTTGTTCCCTTTTGACTTCCCTGCACCCTCCCTCCCTGCTTTTGCTTTTCTTGTTTTCCTGGCATCTGCTCCTTCATCTGGCCTCTCTTCCTGGTTAGCCTTTGTAACAGGGCTTCTCAGTGCCACAGCTTCCTCCCTACTCAGTGTGAGGACTGAGCAGGCACTGAGAGTCCGGGGGCATCATGCGGCCATGAATGAGACCCAAGAAACAAACTGTCCCCTGCAGGAGGTCATGCTGTTTTCTGGGCCCTCCATATTCAGCTGTACAGCCAAGTCTGTTCCTTACTCCTTACGAAGTTCTTTTTTGGGGGCAGGGGGTAACCAGGGATTGAACTCAGGACCTTGTGATTTTGAGGCAGGCAACAGCACTATTGAGCTAAATTTCCAGGAAGTTCATTCTGTTGATAAGTTTTATCTTCTGAAAGCATTTCAGATCTTTTTTTGTTTTAGTTTTTCCTTCACGCAGGGTCTCCCTTTGTAGCTCAGGTTGGCCCTGAACTCACTGTGTAGCCCAAGCTGGCCTCTAACTTGAGGCGATCCTCCTCCCTCAGCCTCCCCAGTCTGGGATCACAGGCGTGTGCCACTAGGTCTCGCAGGAGATTCTTTCAAGTTTCTTCTGTCTCTTCAGCCTAGATGGTAACTCTCTTTGTAATCTTCCCCTTCCCTGAGAGTTCAGGCAAGAAACTCCTGCACCCCAGTTCTGAAGTTAAACCCCAGGTGTAAGTTGTCTCCATCCTAAATCACACCTTTTCTTTCTAGTTTTTTCAAAAAATTATTATTTTTTTCCCCATTACCAGGGATGGAACGTAGGATCTTTCACTTGCCAGGCCCTCTACTTTTTAAAAAATAGGCAACTTTTTTTGTTGTTATTTTTTTTGAGAGAGGGCCTTAGTTCAGGTTGGCCTTCAACTCACTATATAGCCCAGGTTGGGCTTGAACTTGAGACAGTTCTCCTGCCTCAACCTCCAGAGTGCTGGGAGTATAGGTAGTGTGCCACCACACCTGGCTAATAGGTACTTTTTTTTTTTGGTACCCGGGATTGAAATCAGGACCTTAAATCCCCAACCCTAATAGGGTACCTCCTGACTCTTCTTTTGTTCAATCCTTTTTGTCTCCTTGGATAACAGCAGCACACCTCCTACCCTTGCCTTTCATTGTTTTAACTCCCTATAACTAGCTGATCTTTGGTCAATAGCTTCCTTTAAAAAAATTTTTTTTTTTTTTTTTGGTATCAGGGATCAAACTGGCCCTTGTGCTTACAAGGCAGGCACAGAAACCACTGAGCTAAATCTCTGGCCTCCCTTTAAACCCCCCCCCCCATTGAGTTTATTGGTACATTTAAAGCAAACAATACAGTTACATTTCTCATTGGGATCTTGTACCTTTACATGCTAGGTCTTGGTTCTTTTTTTTCCCCCATACCCCTGCCCTCCCTTCACCCACTTCACCCTTTCCTATTTACAAAGACTTTGTTTCCATTTTTTTCTTTTTTTTAACATTTTTTTTCTTTTCCCTTGTTTCCCCCTTTAAATTTTATACACAAGTGTTGTCACTCAGAAAGGCTCTCTAGATAGTGACCAGGTCATGTCACGTGGTTCAGACAGACCAGGAACCCCTTCTTAATTTCCCATGGCCAGAGATTCTTGTTCAGGATAGTCTAACTACATACTTACTTTGCTCTTTCCCTTTTGTCTCTGTTTCTTCCCAGGATCATCTCCAGCAACAGGTCACACATTGTCAAACTACCTCTCAGCAGGGTAAGTGCTGATGCTCCCTCTAAAGTCTCCAAGTTTCTAGAGATGAAAGGATGGGGTTCCAAGCCAGCTGACCATACTGGTCCTAGATCTGCCTGCCTGGCTGTGTCCATCGGCATTCTGTGGGCCTTGCATGTTTCCATTGTTTGGGGTCAGTGCCAGCCTGATTTGTTCCCTCTCCCCACCCTTCCCTCCCTGATCTCCATTTCCGCTCTATTTCCCTGGCCCCGCCCCACCCTGGGCAGCAGCTGAAGTTCATGCACACCTCACACCAGTTCCTCCTGCTGAGCAGCCCTCCAGCCAAGGAGGCTCGGTTCCGGACTGCCAAGAAGCTCTACGGCAGCACTTTCGCCTTCCAGTGAGGAGGGGAGGTTGGGCAGCTGCGGGAAGGGCAAGTGGGGAGTCTTGGAGTTGTTGAGTGTGTGAAACGCTTGTGTCAGTCACCTAGTCAGTGAGGAGCTAGGAAATGCTCTTGTGGTAGGTGCTGTAGAGGATGAAAAGAATGCATGGCATGGTCTTCATTTTCAAGCTTTCATAGTGGAAGAGAAATGATATTTACACATCATAAGAGGGAATTGAACAGATTGGAAGGGATAGATTTGAACGCTTATTTTGATCTTAAATCCAACGCCTTAACCACTCAGCCATCCTGGTAACCTAAAAACTTACTTAAAAGGATATCCACAATTTATGCCTAATTGTGGGAGGGAGAAAAAAAAAAGGTATTAAAGATAACTCCAAGTTGTAGTACGGATTCTTTAAAATAAAATTTGAGGTCTGGGCTGGAAGCCATATTTGGGGTCAGTGATAAGTTTGCATCATTTTAGTTGAAATCAAGACAACAGGCAGATGAAGACACTGAACCAGGAGTTGAAAATTTATGATGTGATTCTCTGAAGAGCAGTAGAGATGGCACTGGCAGTGAAGATGTGGCGTTTAACCACACGCGCACAGGCTGCCTGTGCTGTGACTACATCCGTGTGTGTGTGTGTGTGTGTGTGTGTGTGCGTGTGCGCACATCACTAGGCAGATCTGTATGGGCTAGGATGGGTGGGAGTGGCTGCCCTGGAAGTGCTGCTGGGAGCCTGTCACCAAGAGGAGGCCTGTGTTCTGCCCTGCATTGCAGTGGGTCCCACATTGAGAACTGGCATTCAATCCTGCGCAATGGGCTGGTCAATGCATCCTACACCAAACTGCAGGTGAGGCTGTGCCCCTTCTCCGCCCCCTTCCAGCTCCCTTGCTTGGGGAGGCTGCTCTGGAACACTCAGCTGGTTTTGCCTCAGTGTGCACCACCCTAGCCTATCTTGGGAGCTTCCCTAGAGAGGAAGTTAGAGCTGATGCAGAGAATGAATATAACTTCTGTGTTTGAATGTGGGCTGTATGTTTCGGTGGTATAGAGAGTGAGAATGTACCTGTAGGCAGGAATGAGGACCTCATGACTGTAGCCTCTGTGATGAATTCACCTACTACAAAGAACTTTTTCTTCCATGAGTACCTGTGCTTTCTCCTGAAAGACCGCAAGAAGCAGTGCTGCTCCTTCTGGTTCCCTGGTTCCTCCTGCAGTTCCTTTGTTAAAGAATCTGCATATGTGCCAGGGCCTGGAGACCAGGAGGGTGGGTGCTGTGGGACTGACTACCCTGCCACTCCCCATGCTAGGATTTCCTAGGCAAGCAGTATAACCTGAATCCACTTTGTAGACAACCCATGTTGTAAGTATAGGTTGCCTATAGTATTTGAGAAGGTAGTTGGAGGGACAGAGGACTGGATAAGCTCTGTGGATGCCTAATGCATAGCCATGGGTGGCCCCAGGCTCATATGTTCATCCTGGTGTTTCCCTGCAAGCTGCATGGAGCAGCCTATGGCAAAGGCATCTACCTGAGCCCCATCTCCAGTATTTCCTTTGGATACTCAGGTAAGAAATATGCTCTGGCCACTGTGACTGTGTTTACATCACATCCATTTGTGAACACATGATGTGTGCTGTCTGCTCCTCCCCATTGTGGACTGTTCAGTCTCAGCCCTCTCCCTAGTCATGGATACATAATCTTTTTCTACTTTCTCTCTTTAGAAGTTTAGATTCTCTATGCAGTAAGGACAATTATTGTTATAAATGGTAATTTTGTTCATTGTAGGAGCTTGGCCTTGAGAAAGGTTTAAGGAACAACTGGAAAGTGAAATAAGGCTTTTTGTAAACCACATTTTTTTATATTGGCAGTTAAAAATTGTATGTGTGCAAGTGTGCATGTGAATTTATGTGTAGAGATACAGGAAGGCTTGGGTCCTTTGTATTGGCTTATATTTCTTTTTCTTTTTCTTTTTTTTTTTTTTTGCGATACCAGAAATCAAACTCATGACTTTGCACTTGTGAGGCAAGTGGTAACAGCACTGAGCTAAATCCCTGGCCCTGTATTATATTTCTGAAGACGTTCTCTCAGCTATCTTTTTTATTTTTATTTTTCTTTATTTATTTTGGTTTTTGAGACAGGGTCTCACTATGTAGTTGAGACTGACCTGGAACTCACTATGTAGCCCAGGCTGGCCTCAAACTCACAGCGATCCTCCTGCCTCAGCCTCCCAAGTGCTGGGATTACAGGCATGCGCCACCACACCTGTCTTCTCAGCTATCTTTTAAAATTGAAACTGAGCCAGGCATGATGGCATAGGCCTATAATCTCAGGACTCTGGGAGGATGAGTTAGGAAGATCACAAGTTTGAACCCTCCACAGGCAACTGAGTGACACAGTGACTTGATGAGACCCTGTGTCAAAATAAAAAATAAGGGCTGAGGATGTAGCACAGTGCAAAAGGTCCTGGGTTCAATCCCCAGAACTATAAGCAATCAGTCAATCAATAATATTTATACTGTTACAATATTCACATTGAATGAAAAGGCATTTTATCCCAAATGTAACACAAGAACAAGATTCAGATTCTAGTGAGTGCAGAATTTTCTACCTTAGGAAAGGAATCTGATTAGAAGTTTATCCTTCCAGTTCATGGTTTAGCGCCTTTTCAGTCTGCTTTGTTTTGTCCAGTGTCATTGGCATGTCCATTTGATGAAAGCAGTTGTACTAGGTTCTCAGCAGATGATTTAGTATTCTGCAGTAATTGGAGCTGTTATAAAGAAAACTTATGGCTAGAATCACAGAATTAGAAAAGTCTCTAACCATAGAACAGAGCAAAGGAGAGAAAGACAATATAAGTTAAAAAAAAAAAAAGCAATGAAATAATAACAGAAATAGTAGTAGTAAAGCTAAAGGGTAATTCTTTTAAGAACTAACAAAAAGATGAATCCTGGTTAGATTAATAAAGGGGCACAGGGGCCAGGGATTTATCTCAAGCCCAAGGTCCCAAGTTTGATCCCTGGTACTGAAGGAAAAAAACCCAAAAATAAAGGGTCACAAACAAATAGTATGAATAGCTGAGCTATGGCACATGCCTATATTGCTAGCTATCACGAGGCTGAGGCAGAAAGATCACAAGTTTAACGCCAGCTTGGGCAGCTTGGGTCTCAAAAAAAATTTTTTAAGTATATGTTTGCAATATAAAAAATACATTCACAGCCGGGTGTGGTGGTGCATGCCTGTAAAACCAGCACTTGGGAGGCTGAGGCAGGAGGATCACTGAGTTCGAGACCAGCCTGGGCTACATAGTGAGTTCTAGGTCAGTCTCAACTACATAGGGAGACCCTGTCTCAAAAAACCAAAAAATTAAAAATAAATTAAAAATTCATTCACCGTAGGGAATTGGTATATATACCTTCATCCTTTCTACTTTCCCTTGTAGTTAAATTTTCTTTTCTAAGGAGCTGAGGATGTAGTTTAGTGGTAGAGCATTTGCCTAACGTGTATGGCTCCATGTCAATCCCTATAGTACCTAGTACCTCCAAAAAACAAAGAAAAATGTAAGTACAGGTATACCAAAATTTTAAAAGCTAAGAGAACTCTATAAACTTTATACCAGTAATTTGAAAACTTGGACAGAAGGAATTCATAGGAAAACATAACTTAATAAAACTCCAAAAAGAAGTTCAAAGCCTAAATGGCCATAAAATTATAGAAGAAATTAAAGTAATTTAAAATTTCCACACAGAAAAGCTAGATGTGCATGCCTGTGATCCCAGCACTTGGGCGGAGGAGGATCTCTCAGGCTGGTCTGGGAGATGCAGTGAGTTCAAAGCCACCCTGAACTACAAAGCATGACCCTGTCTCAAAACCCAGACAGGTGTGGTGTTTTGTTTTTTGGGTTTTATTGTGGGTTTTTGAGATGGGACCTGGCTATGTATATATAGTTCAGGGTGGCTTTGAACTCACTATGTAACCCAGACTGGCCTTGAACACAACAATCCTGCCTGAGCTGCCTCTTTTTTGGGAGGGGGGTATTGGGGATCGAACTTGACCCTGCATTTGCCAGGCAGGCATGGTGCCACTGAGCTAAATTGCCAGCCCTCAATCTGTCTTCCCCTCCTGAGTGCCAGGAGTATAAGCATGCACCATCCCACCCAGCCTTCCTGATCTTCATTTCAACAGCTGGTCTGAGAATTGAATCCAGAGCTGTGAGCCTGCTGGAAAAACACTCTTTATCTCTGAGCTATGGCATTGGCACTCAGTTAGATTATTGATGAATGGATTTGTTTGTTTGTTTATTTATTTTGAGAGAGGGTCTCAGAAAGTTCAGGCTAGCCTTGAACTTGGTATGTAGCCCATGCTGACCTCGATCCTCCCACCTCAGCCTCCAAGTGCTGAGATTACAGGCATGCACTACCATGCCCAGCTAGCACCTAGTTAGCTTTATAGGTGAGTCTTATTTTTTGATACCGGGGATCAAATTCAGGCCCTTGCACTTGCAAGGCAGATAGCAGAACCACTGAGCCAAATCCCCAACCCTGTAAGTGAGTCTTAAACCAAATTTTCAAGGAATAATATTCTAATCTTGTGCAAAAAATTCCAGAGGATCAAAAAAGTTAGAATTACAATACAAATTATGGAAGATTGGTTAACTTTATTAAAACTAAGAACTTCCATGCATTTTTAAAATCACAAATCAGTAAGAAAAGGACAGCGTGTTGGAAAGACAAGCAAGTTGTATCCAAGTAGTTTCCTGAAGAAATGACCCACAGAACATGCAAAGCTGCTTGATCTCTATTTATAGGGAAGTAAAATCCAGATAAAATGACTTACTGAGTTGTAACTCATCAGGATCTCCTGTAATGCCCAAGGGGTTATGAGTGATACAGTGCTTTTGGGAAACCACTCAGTAGTAGCTCCCAAAGCTGGAGAGTTTTACCCAGTGAACCAGCACTTGAGTTCCTGTGTGTGCACAGCCAAGGGCATGTTCAGGGATGTGTGGGGCAGACTGTTCACAGCAGGAAATCTGGGAAGCAACTCTGATGTCCAGCACTGGAAGAATGGGTAAATGCCATCAGTGAAGTCTCACTGTAGACTGTGGTTCAGCAGAAAAAGTTAATGACGTTTGTGACATGTAGCAATATGGGAAATTTTCATAATGTGTTGAAGAAAATAGGCAAGTCCCAGAAGACTGTCCTGTGGATGCCTTTTCTATTGTTGAGGTGCAAACATGGATAAACACTCCCTAGCTGTGTGTGGGAGTGAGTATAAAAAGCATGGCAAAGGAACCCCTTTCTGACAGTGGGGCTTGGTGGCAGAGCATTTGCCTGGATGTGTGAGGCAAAAGACTTCAGGATAGTAGTTAGCCATAAACAGAAGTCATTTGGAGCCTTAGTTATTGGATTATTCTTCAGGTATTTATTGTCCTATTAAAAAAGACCTATGAGCCGGGCGTGGTGATGCACGCCTGTAAAGCCAGTACTTGGGAGGCAGAGGCAGGAGGATCGCTGTGAGTTCAAGACCAGCCTGGCCTACATAGTGAGTTCCAGGTCAGTCTTACTACATAGTGAGACCCTGTCTCAAAAAACAAAAAACCAAAAAAAAAGGACCAGTGCACCATGAAACAAGGGCTATGATTAATTCATAGAGGGTAAATGCTGCTTATGTACATAACTGTGTGTGAATGTCTCTTATTCTGTGACTGAGATCCAAAGCTGGGTTGGGGGTGAGGAAGTCTTTCGGGCTTCTTTGGTTTCCTCAGTTTTTATCTTTTCCCAGCCAAAGCAGCACTCTGGTTAAGTTCTTATTACTTCCCGAGTAATGAGATTCTTCTGGATTTTATTGCCCACAATTTTGTCCTTCCTCTGTTCTTCTGTGTCCTCCTTGCTCTTCTGCCATAGGCCTTTTGTTTACTGCTAGGTACTTGAATACATGAATTGCCGCATAAAACCAGGAATCCTTGTGGGACTTCTTGTCTTTCCTGAACATTTTACTGATTATGTAAAACATTAAGTGACACTGTCCTCCCCTCTCCAAGGGTTATGATTATGTATCCAGATTGCCATAAGATTTTACTACTGGAGTTATAGATCATCTGGTCCAATTCCTTATTTGTAGATAAGCCGGCTTATACACAGGGAAGTTAAATAACTTTATTATAGTCACATAGCTATGGGGAGCAGAGCTAGGATCGCAGTCCACATCTCCTTACCATAATACTGGACTGACAGGAGAGACTTGGCTTGAATGAGTGGATCTCTGCAGTCCTTGTAGATACCATTACGTGAGAATCTCTGTAATCTTGGATAGAATGTGTGCAAAACACCCACATACTGCAGTTACTGTGGCCCTCGGCCAGCTGTCACATACATTCCCTACCACCCTGTTCTGCACTGGTTTTCTGTTTCTTCCAGAGGGCACCTTTAGCCTGGTAACTCTGGGTGCCTCCTGACAGTTGGGGTTAGTACACATGAAGAGCATCCATTTCACCAGAGGAGCTGGCCAGAGGTTGGCCACAGTGTGCAGGTTGGAATGCAGGACAGTGAGAAAGCAGTTTGTTTGTACATGCCATCTGCTTAATTCTATGTGGGGCTTCTGATAAGAGTGTATGCACAATGCATGCAGAGATTATTCTAGCCACCAGATTCTCAGTCTTGACTCAGAATGAAGACAGATCAGTGGGTCAGTACAGATGGCACAGTGTAACAAGCCTGGGGTGGGACAAGATTTGGGTTAGAGCATAATGGCTGTCTCTATAACCCACCATAGAAACCAGGCTGTTGAGCTCCGTGTGCTGGCACACACCTGTCATTCCAACACTCTGGGAGGCTGAGGCAGGAGGGTCACTATTTTGAGCCCAGCCTGGGCAACTTAACAACCTAACGAGACCTTGTCCCAAAATTAAAATTGGTATTGGGAGGCACCTGAGGATATAGCTAGTAGTGCAAAGGAACAAAGATTTTTAGACAGGGTCTCAATGTGTTGCCCAGACTGGCCTCAAACTCACAGTTCTGCCTCAGCCAGATCATTTTTGTCTTCCTGTTGGCCTCTTCTGGAGTAGAACCTGCATAGGGATTTTTCTTGGAACCTTGTCATGGAATATCCAGGCTAAGCAGGTTACATTGTTTGGAGGTAGAGTGGACCCTTATTGAAGACAGTGGGGAAGGAGGGAACAGCTGGTGTCTGTCCTTTGTTCTCAAATACCAAAAAAATTTTTTTGAGACAGGATCTCTCGTAGTTCAGACCGGCTTTGAACTTGATATGTAGGCCAGGTTGGCCTCAAACTCACTGCGATTCTTCTGCCTCAGCCTCCCAAGTGCTGGGATTATAGGCAAGGGCCACCACACCCAGTTTAAATAACCATTTTTAATGCAATGCCAACACTTGAGCAGATCTGACACGTTGGGCTTGGTTCCTCTCCACTGCCATTTGACACCAGAGGGCTTCATGTTCCTGGCTCACATTGTGTTACTCCCCTACCTTAGAACCCTTTAGTCGCTCCAGCCGGGTGCTTCCCTTTGTCCTCTGCACAAGCTTTGGTTGCCTTAGCACGGCCTGCAAGGCCTCTTGATCTGATCCTACCTTTCCCCTCCCACATCATTTCTTGCCAGTTTTCTGCCATTCACTGTGGTCTGTTCAAACTAGGACACATGACTTTATCTTTCCTTCAGCCTTTCCTTACTGTGTTCTGCCCAGAACGCTTCTCCCACCTGTCTTCTGGCTGACTCTTCTCAGCCATGTCTTTTCATCTTTATTGTCACCAGCCCTCTTCAAATCTGTAGGCTCAGCTGGTTGCCCTTCTCACTCACACTGTGCTCTGTAATCTCCCCATCACAACCCCTGCCATAATGTGCTATAGTTTCTTGCTCATTGCCTGCAATCTGCACCAGACTAAATTTAGTGAGAGCAGTTAACTTGTTTTTTGAATTCACCATTGTACTACCAAGTGCCTGGCACAATGCCTGGGACATAGTAGGCCCTTTGATAAATATTTGACCAAAGAATGGGTGAGTGACCCGAGTTTGTTGTTCTGTGACAGGAATGGGAAAAGGACAGCACAGGATGCCCTCCAAGGATGAGCTGGTCCAAAGATACAACAGGATGAACACCATCCCCCAGGTATTAGAAATCGGCCCTGCTCTGAGGAGTGTTCTTCCTGGGCTGCTCCAGGCTGCAGAGATGAGTGGGAAACATAGGGCTGGGCTGATTGAAGATCATGGAAAGGAATCAGGTGTGTCCCAAGTGGAACACACTTCAAAGTCATGTGGTCTTTGTCAGAAGTATGAAAGCAAAGGCCAAGTTGAGATGGAAAGATGGAAACTGGGCCCATCCAAATTGACCCCAGGAAATCAAACTTGTGGAAGGTGGCCTGGAACTCAGGGCATCACAGACCCCCACCCGATCACTAGCTCACAAGCTGCTTCATGACTAGCTATAATGCCCTGCTTCTGTCTGCTCTTTGCCCCTTCTCTTTCAGACCCGATCCATTCAGTCCAGGTTCCTACAGAGCCGGAATCTCAACTGTATAGCACTTTGTGAAGGTAGGTAGTGTACCCACTCCCTGCTGGTTTAGGTCCCAGCCTCTAGCTGCGACCCAGCCACGACTGATACCGGAGCACTGTGTCTTCCCCCCCGCCTGAACTCTTGTGTCTCAGGCTTTTATCTGTGACTTGTGCCACTTTCTACCCAGTGATCACATCCAAGGACCTCCAAAAGCATGGGAACATCTGGGTGTGCCCTGTATCCGACCACGTCTGCACACGGTTCTTCTTTGTGTAAGTCTGGGAGGAGCCCTGGGCTCACTTGAGTGAGGGGATGCTGTGGTGCTGTGTGACTACTGGGAAGGCCCTGGCTGTGATCTGAGCCTTGTTCCTTGCTACCTGAGTGGAGGTGACCCTAGAGCTTTCTCCATGGAGGATGGGGATGAGCCAGGGATTTAACTCAGCGGTTCGGCCTTGCAAACGCAAGGACTGGGGTTCAATCCCCGGTACCAAACAAACAAAAAACATGGAGGATGGAAAATGGGGAGGAAACCAAATAAGCTGAATCCTTTCCACTCTAAAAAATAGTGAGAAAGATTTGACTCTTGGGGTGGCCACACCTGCTGTGCCACTGCTTGACATTTTTCTGGTATTCTCCTTTCACACTAACACTTGCCCTGTCGTTGGCAGATATGAGGATGGTCAGGTGGGCGATGCCAACATTAATACTCAGGACCCCAAGATACAGAAGGAAATCATGCGTGTGATCGGAACTCAGGTTTACACAAACTGAGGGGGCTCCAGCCCTCGAACCATGCTGTTCCCCAGGATCCATCTGCCCTTATCAAAGGGCTCAGGAGCAACAGGTGAGACTGCCCTACAGCAATCAGGGGCTGCTACCCAGGAGCACGACGAGGATAGAAGAGGTGGCCATCATGGTGGAGACTGACCCAGGAACCACTCCACAGTGGATGGCCAGACTGACTCCAACCCCCGATCTGCCCAGTTGACTTCACTCTGTTTGTAAATAAAACAATAAACTGGAAGGTGCTGTGGACTGGAAATGATCACTGTGGTCTTCCCAGGCCCCAAGGGGATTGGGTGGGGAGAGTCGGGAGGGCTTATGCTGCACCGCACCAAAACTGAGTCCATCTGATGGTGTGTTCTACAGAGCTGCCAGCACCTTTATCAGCACAGCATATTAGGTACAGAGGGAGTCTTACAGTTACGCAGATGAAGCAGAGCATAACTGTCAAGATTTAAAAGTGCCTAAAGCCAGAGCAGCTGGGATTTCCTACCCTCAGAGCAGCTACCTTCTGCACAAAGCCTTAGCCTTTCACTCTCTAGCTCAGGCTGGGCCCCTCTTGTCCTTCCTCCAGCTGTTTCTTTTGGATGCATGAGATATGGGGGAGCTGGTAGATACAGGAAGCTGTGTTGGTATCTAATTTGAAGTCTTTAAGGAAAGGCTAGCAGAGGGTTTGCAATAGGAATCTTTCTTCCTTTATAGTATGTATGTATGTATTTTGAGACAGTCTCACTATGTAGCCCAGGCTGCCTCAGCTTCCCGAGAGCTGGAATTATAAGCGGGCACCACTGCACCTGGCTACATTAAGAATCTTAACTGAAGCAAGGTGGAAAACTGCCTTCATTACCTTGCTAACCTGAGAACCAGGCTGAGCTCCATCTGTCCAAAATTCTCAGTGTACCTGGGATCTGATGGCATTTCCAAATAATTTGTGAAATATTTACATAGAAATATGGGCATATAAGCATGGCAAATGCAAAAAAGAGAAAAAAACACCATTTTTAAAGACTGACTTTTTACTAGACATAGTGGCACATACAGGTAATCTCAGCACTCTGGGAGGTTGAGGCAAGAGGATTGCTGTGACTTTTAGGCCATCCTGGCTACATAGTTCAAGTCCAGCATGGGCAGTTTATCGAGTTAGACCCTGTCTTAAAATCAAAAGGATCTAGCTCCTTGTGGAGGCCTTGGGATCAATTCCCCATTACTTCCCATTAAGTGCACATACACACAAGTGCTTTTATAGGTTTTTGATTCTCTCACAGCCCTTGACTTACAAAGTCTACCCTAGACTATTGTCTTTCATTTTCTTTGTTATACATATCAACCTAGGTAGCTTATCCTGTTCCAATTCCGGACTGCCGTAACACAGAAGTACTGTTCTAAGGTCCATATCCCCAGAAGCTGTTTCTTAAACTCCTTTACCCCTTCCTGATCAAGATTAGGACCTCCTACTGGGTGCTGTGGCACATACCTGTGATTCCCAACACTCAGGAGACAGAGGTAGGAGGATTGCTGTGAGTTCAAGGCTAGCCCGAGCTACACAGTGAGACCTGTCTCAA